ATGATGGCCCCCAATGGCTCCCAGAAGATGTGAAGGGCCCCCAGTAGCCCCTAGAAGCTATACGGTGGCCCCCAGTGGCCCTCATAGGCTATATGATGGCCCTAAGAAGCTAAATAGTGACCCTCAGGAGCTATATGGTGGTTCCCAGAAGCTACACAATGGCTCCCAGAAGCTATAAAGGGCCCCCCAGTAGCCCCTAGAAGCTATACGGTGACCCCCAGAAGCTATACGGTGACCCCCAGAAGCTATACGGTGACCCCCAGAAGCTATACGGTGACCCCCAGTGGCCCCGAAAGCTATACGGTGGCCCCCAGAAGCTATACGGTGGCCCCCAGAAGCTATACGGTGGCCCCCAGAAGCTATACGGTGGCCCCCAGAAGCTATAAAGGGGTCCACAGTGGCTCCAAGAAGCTATACGATGGCCCCCAGAAGCTATGCAATGGCCCCCAGAAGCTATGCAAGGGCCTGCAGAAACTGTACTGTAGCCCCCAGAAGCTATACAGGGGCCCCCAGTGGCTCCTAGAAGCTATACGATGGCCTCCAGAAGCTATGCAAGGGCCTACAGAAACTATACTGTAGCCCCCAGAAGCTATACAGGGGCCCCCAGTGGCTCCCAGAAGCTATACGATGGCCCCCAGAGGCTATGCAAGGGCCCACAGAAACTGTACGGTAGCCCCCAGAAGCTATACGATGGCCTCCAGAAGCTATACAGTGTCTCCCAATGGGCCACCATATAGCTTTGGGGGCCACCGTATAGCTTCTAGGGGCTACTGGGGGCCCTGTATAGCTTATGGGAGCCATTGGGGGCCATCATATAGATTCTGGGGGCCATCTTGTAGCTTCTGGGGGCTGCTGTAAAGCTTCTGGGGGCCATCGTATAGCTTCTTGGAGCCACTGGGGTTCCCTGTATAGCTTCTGGGTGCCACCGTATAGCTCCTGGGGGCCACTATTTAGCTTCTTGGGGCCATCATATAGCTTCTGAGGGCCACTGGGGGTCACCATATAGCTTCTGGAGACCACAGTATAGTTTCCGTGGGCCCTTGTATAGCTTCTGGGGGCCATCGTATACCTTCTGGGGGCCACTTGGGGCCCCTGTATAGATTCTTGGGGCCAATGGGGGCCATCATATAGCTTCTGGGGGCTTCTGGAACCTAATTATTAATGTATTTTGCCAGGTTTCACCAAAATCTTCAAATATGGGGACTGTCAGGAGGAGGTTAAATTAAGTTATAATTTTTTTAAACAAATTCATGCAACTATTTATCTCTAAAGCAAAGGGAGAATAACTTTCTTTTAACTCATTAAGAACGTGAAATGTAAAAACCTCATTATCAAGTGATGTTACCATAGCATCTGAAATGTTAGAAATATTACATAAACCATATGATGAATCATCTTCACTTCTAATCATGCTATATACTTCAGATGCTTTAAGAATCAAGAATATGAAGAATATGATGAAAAGCAGACTATATGTATACTATTTATATTAATCATTGAAAGTGCATGGTAAATTATAAGATTGGATCTTTAATATACAGGGTCGAGATAACCGTTTTGACCCCTGTGAATGATAGTCAAAATGCATGTAACCTTTCCACATACTTATTAGTTCAGTTCAATACATGCACATTTTTACTCAATAAGATTGAAACAACTATAATATAATGGTTGTTACTTTTTTTGTTAATTTAATATTCTTTTTATAATTGTCAAACAATGACGTTCACAGTAGCTGCCTCCAAAGCTGGATAATTTTGTTAATTCTGATCCAATTTTGAAGATTTGTTGTCTCTTTAATGTTGCTTATACATGTATCTTCCACTCATCAAATAAGGGACAAAACTATGCACACATTCTGTCATACGGCCTCAGTTCTAATAGATATGTTGCTATACTAGGATATTCTGAACCAAAAATGGAATGATGACGTCACAATTAATGCAAATTAGCTAATTTGCATAACTGAATATTGTAACCATATAGTAAATTTAATGAGGTTTAATCAGATACCAATATCATCTCTATAGACCAAATAATGGCGAAGCTACATTGATTCAAGACTCCAAGGTAAGACATATGTATATTATTGTCAAATAATGACATTCACGATAGTTACTTCGAAAGTTACATAACTTTCGTAATACTGATTCAATTTTGAATCTGTTTTCACTTTTATGTTGCTTAAAGCTTCTACTAATAGAATAAAGGACAAAACCTTTCAGAAATTTTGCCATACGGCCTCAGTTCTAATAGATACGTTGCTATAGTTGGAAATTCTGAACCAAAAATAGATTGATGACGTCATAATTTATGCAAATTAGATAATTTGCATTATTGAATATCAGAAATTTATTGGAAATTTAAAGAGGTTCAATTTGGTACCAATATCATTTCTATAGACCAAATAATGACAGAGCTACAAATGATTTAAGATACCAAGGTAAGATGTCTAAAGATGCGTAACCATGGTAACTGAATGCCGCCATAAAAGTACTATGGGACATTAGTTGGCAATGTTAACAAATGAATTCATTAAATAGACACCCTAGGGATTACAAAAATGTATGTAACTTATTCACACCTTATGGGTGCATGGGAACCCCTTGTTCCTACTATACTAACTAGGCAATTAAAAGACTACAGTACATAGTGTATTATTCAAGACATTTTTATATTTAGATTGTTCATGGTTTGACTGACAAATGTTTGGCCACTTTTACTTTGATGCTTCCCTAACATGTTATTCTCCAAAAATTAACATGGCTGAAACTCCCTAAATTACAAGAGGGTATATGTTTGCATCTAAAATAATTTGTCCTTAAAATATTTTATTTTGTTTCTTTGATTGCTCATTTTTTAGGTTTCGATCGACTGCCAATCTATTCGCAGTTTGCAAGTTTGAAGAACAAAAGTACATATCACTTGCATATCTCCCAATTCAAATCAAATTTAAGCAAGATTAATCCAGAAAAACTTAAGTTACTCCCCAAAGTTTCAAGTTGAGAAGTAGTATTATATTAATGTAAATGGAAAGCTTGCATACCTTGTTTGCATACTATATTGCAAGTTGTGTCACAACCTATTGGTAGAGTACATTGCTCCATACAACCAGTCTTACAGAATGGTGCAAGCATTCCTCGTATTCTTTTACTACCACAGATCTGTTCACACAATGTAGGACAAATATAAGGTACTGTGCACCTACTGTTACATATAGATGTACAGAATGGTGTACTCCATGCCTCACCAACCAGCACCACCAGGAAAAATATTAACAGTGTATTCCTCATGGTATCTATAAAATTCAGATCAGAATATCAATGAACATAATTTAAAAAAATAGAAGTATCAAATTCAACATTGTTAAATAGTCTTTGCATATTTCATGTGAGGGAGCAACATCTAGGATGAAAGAAGTCCCATCAAATTAGTCTCTGAACACTATTTGCAAAAATATACTTTTTTATTTACATTATGATGAAATAACAGCTATTGATTTTAAATGTCTTACCTGTGTTGCTTTGGAATGTCTAGTGGACTTAATCACTTTGGCCTTATGTTATAAGTACAAGATAGGTCCATAGGTTAATTATAAATTTACACATACATGCATGTAATTCTCTCACATGAAAATTAAAACAGGCAGAACTTGTGTAATAGTTTATCAAATGGTCTAAAGTTTATTTTGTTATCTTAAGCTCCTGGGTTAATAATTTTGTGCTTTAACACTCACACATTCCTTTTATTCATACACTGCCTGCAAACATTTAGTAGAAGAGTTAAATGGGAAAGAACCCAATTAATGTAAATACATTTGTAATCTTTCTTAATTCACAATTTTGATAGGATCTACAACTAATGAATGTCACTATCTGTAATTATCCCAACGAACGAAGTTCGGTAGGGATATAGTGAAGCCCTCCATCCGTCAGTCCGTCAGTCAGTCCGTCCGTCCGTCCGTCCGGAAGATAACTCAAATACGAGTTGACGGATTTTCTTCATATTTAGTGGAAAGATGTATATTGGTGAATAGTTGTACGCAAAAAAAAAATTTTCAAGATGGCCGCCGCTTTAAAAATGACGGGACTTTTTCGCAAAAACCATAAATTTTTCATTTTAAACCAAAGTAATTAATATTATTGTTTGAAATTTTGGTAGTATATTCGCAACATCTATCTATTTCACCTATATTCTGTGTTTTTCATCCTGACCCCCAGGGGCCGTGTATGGGGGGTAAGGAAAACAGTAATTTTCGCTAATTATTAGATCTTTCTGAAGTATAGCTTTATTATACTCAAATGAAAGGCAATTAAGAGTAGATTGCAAATATTGTATCTTTTTTCTGATTCGAGCCTCGTAAAAGTCAAAATGGCCGTCTAATGTACGATTTCGCAATAATTTTTCGATCCCTTCAAAGTATGGCTATATTATACTCAAATTGAAGGAATTTTGGAGTGGATCACAATTATGGTATTATTCTTCAGATTTGTACCTCAGAAAATTCAAAATGGTTGCTTTGCAGGAATTCGCAATTCTAAAATCTAAATTTTTCAATTTTAACCAAAGTAATGAGTATAATTGATTTGAATTCGGTAATTGATATTTTGTTAGTTGGGATTTGCTACTCCGCGGAGTTGCCATTGTCTAGTTAATTTTATTTGATATAGTTTTATGGTAATATAAAAAGTGGTGACATATTGTTGTAGTAGCAGATCAGTTCAACTAAGTAGCAGATCAGGCCAACAGCCAGCAGTTAAAATCACAAATTTATGAATGCTTAGTAGCTCAGTCTTTCATTAGAGAGTGTCATATCATGACTGAATATGGTTATATAATGAATTATACAGTATAATAGTATTGCTTAGCTGAGTTTGATAGCTGACAGTAACCTTTAAGATAGTAAACAGTTACTGACCTCAATAATCATTCAATAAACATTCCCTATCACACAAATACATCTAGTATTACATGTACAGTTTATATGTTTGCAGATGTGATGAAATCAAACTCGTAGACCCAATGTTAGTTTAGCGTCTCATAGACATTGAACAGCATTGAGAGTTTTGGGATCTAAAGTGAACTAAATATATGTGAGATGGCATCTAATGATATGTATAAGCTAGAATTGTCATCTACACTCATTCTTCCCAAATCTTTGTTCACAGAATCAGCAGGATTTGCCTGTGATATTGGTAAGTCTTTTGTTTGGATGAAGAATCTTTGTTTTGGTTGGTCATCTTTTTTACCTTTAACCTATTAACTAGAAAATGCAGCTGTTTTAACTTGAGAATTAATGTGTTTTATTGGAATGATATTGATAAGTTAATATTTCATGACTGCCATAAGGGTTCTTTAATTTCCTAAGATTTAAAGTGAATAAAACAATTAAAACATATAACATGGACTTTTTAAATGGGTCACTTTAGTACAAAAGATATATTATTCATATTAGAAAACAAAATTATTATTCATATTAGATACTTTTTATTTTAGGAGGAAGCCTGGCAAAGTTTGTATACTTTATAAGTGATACAGTAAGTGAAATAAAAAATTGATTCTGTCTAAACTATTCCCAACCAATGCAACACATTTACATCATCTCTTCTCAAACTTCAATTAATCATGAAAGTACCCTAAAAAACGTTTTTATATAATCCAAAAGGAATAAAAATATTTTGTTATAAGTACTGTTAAATCCTGTATATTTTTAGGACCAAGACAGTGTTACTGTTCACCTTGATACATTCCCAAGGGAGAACCTAGATGATGGTTTGAAGTATATTCAGGAAAACTTTGTGAAGCCTGCTGGAGAGAAATGGAACAAAAATAACATCTTGACATGCGGTGTTGGGTCTTACCATTTCATGTATAAACTTGAGGATGCATTTAATACAAAGTATGACATAATATGGTATAATTTATCAGTGTAACTGTGTAAGTCATTATATTGATGGGATAGCAGTCTGTCCCTTACACATGAAAAATTGAGATATCTTGTCAATTGTAGAAGTTATTGAATATTTTAGATTCAGAAATATGTAAATGGAAGCTTCTTTCCTGTAAATACTAAAACTATGGGTTATTGTATTGGTGGTTTTATTTAATTTTAATAAAGCTCCCATAGGCTGTGTATACCCTATTTTGAAATGTCTCATTCCAGAGGTATTAAAAACATTAATGAAGATTGCTTTGGTGAGGCATTTGTGAAGCTTGCCAAACTTTTGTCAACTGAGGAAGTGGTGGAGGGCCTGAATAGCAAAGTGATGCAAGAAGAGGCTGCAGTAGTGCAATGTTTACAAGATCAAAATAAAAAATTCAAGACTTCCCCCACTGGAGACACCAAACCTATGGCCGAACAGGACGTAAGTTACTCTCAGTTATGAAAATATCATCTTTGTGTTTGACTAAAGGGATGCCCATACTATGATGGAAAATCTGTACTCAGCATGGTTTAGTTTGCTTCTTTCCAAGCATTTGGCTATAAGTGTGGATATAAAATTTCTAAATAGAAAACATGAGGTGAATAAGCATGATAACTATCAAGTTTCAGAGACCATCAAAATTCACAATTATAAATACTATGTAAAGCACAACCATAAAATCCTATACAATTACACCCACATGGGAAGCTCTGAATTCTTTGGTATATTTGAGCGCTGGCCTCTGATAGATTTTCAGCGCTAGGATATGATTTTGACAGATATATTTTCTAGTTTCTCGTCAAGTGAAAGGACAAAATAATACATTTTTATTACTGTCAAGGGAAAACATCAGGCTGGGTATTTTTGTATATCAAATGTAAAAGGATACTACTAGTATTACCTTTTGGTTTGATTTTAGCCGTATTTTCATCCATTTCCCGATGCAGCTGAAGTTGTCAAGATGTATGCTGAGGTGGAAGCAATTAAGCTACCCTGTGCTATAATGTTTATAGGCTCAGGGGGTGGAGTACTTAAAGTAAGCAATAGGGAGAATCTATACATACACTTTGTCGCACCTGTGCCTAAGGGAAGGGGAAAAATTATTACAGAACCCAGGAAGAAAAAGAAAACTTAAAAGTGTATACCAGTAATTGGTAAAAGATCAGTTTAGAAGGCATTCACATTTCAAGGTTTTTCTCAAAATTCCTTTTGCATTCTGTTTCCAGTTCACATATTTAAAGTTTGTTACTACACTATTTTATTTATATCAGATACTCTACAAAATAATTATTACATTACATGATATCACATGTATTGTATATACTTACAAACTAGCAAGTTTTTAATTAAGCGTTGATACTGTTTTCCAGCTTTTTGAAGATTCATCTTACCATGTGCTGCAGATGTGGCCTTCAACTGGAAAATATTTAATTGGAATGGGAAAGATTTTGACTGGAGCGAAGGTAAATTGGTTCAATGTCCATTTTGTTGAATGGCCACTTTGGTTCGCTCTCCTTGTTGGTTCCCCAAAAATTTGATAAATTCGTCACCCAATTTTGTCCTTTGTAAATAAAGAAATTAGCATGCTGTAACAGCACCTTCCCAAGTGATAAAAGCAAATAAAGTTGTTTGTCTTATCTATAGACATTTGATGATCTCATGGAACTAGCTGAGAAAGGAGATTCTACTAAGGTTGACACAGTATTGGGAGATATTATGCAAAAGAATTGTGAGAAACCAAATACTAAAACAGAAGATGATATTTATGCCAAATTTATGGATGATGTGAATAACATGGATAACTCAAACATAGAAAATGCTGTTGTCTTTACTTTTGGCAAAGTTGTTGACAAAGATATCGGTGAGAATATCATACATGTATACTTATATAATAGCATACATCCACAGATTAGCAGTTATAACTGTTTTCACAATATAATAAAGGTCATTAAAGTTCCCTTTTATGAATGTGAATTTGTATAATTATTTATCATTAATTCTTAGTAGTCTTGACAATATTTCACTGGAATTAGCACCCATGGTCCGCCATTTATTATAACAATTCTTAAACCCCAGGCACATTTATTTATGGCAATCATAAGTCAACTGTACATGTATGAAGTTCTCTGAAATTGTTAAATGTCTACATTACAGTCTCCAGTTTTTTCAGGCTGTAGAAATTATAACTCAAGAGTTTCAACTTTTCATTTCTACGGTCTGTATTGGTATTTGTCAAAAATGATACCTTACGGTGACCGTGCTTCATCATTTAAAATTTCTGTCTCCCCTAAATCAAAATACTCCAAATGGCTACCGTAGCAAACGTGACTGTTAAGACATCTGACAATAGAAGTATAATGACATCAATAGAATTGCTATTGGCTGTAGACTGATACTTTTAATCTTTCATAACCCCCTTAGAAAAAGTTATTAATTCAATTGTTGAAGCTGTTGTCGATATCAAACTTGATTTTCTACTTTTCAGGTGACTTTCGGAAAGAGGATATTGCACGTGCATTTGTGTCTCATGCTTGCAAAGAAATGGTTATCGTATCTAGACTTGCAGCAGCATCTGGTGGGGCAACTCAGCTGATCTATGTTGGAAGTACTGTTAGCCATCCCCTTATCCAGGCTGAGATGTCTAAATGGTGTATTCATAATGCACTTGATAATCATAGGGTATGAATTTCCATACTTACCATTATACAGAAGGGCAAGGCTTCTTTTTCCTTAAAAATTTTAGATTGTCCCAAAATGCAAATTTCACATTTTAAATGAACCATCTTATCCTATTCACATTCTCAATCCCAGCAAGATCCCCATATCAACTATATTATGCTGGCTCTAATAAGATATTCTTATTTTTTCTTTATATGTATATTATTTTCAGACAATGAATGTAAGATGCGCATTTCTCAAGAACTCTGGCTATTATGGAGCAATTGGTGCATTATTGAAAGCACAAAATAAAGAAGAAATTGTTTCTAAAGACTCCTAGTTAATCCAATATACGTGAGGCCATGCAGACCTGTTCAGGACATGTGTGATTATAATCAAAGATAAAAAAGAGGTTTCAAATAGTTTTAATTTTTAAACTAAATGGATCCATATTTTGTTTACGTAATCATAATAATAATTTGTTTCCGTAATCATAACAATAATTTTTTCATTGAGCAGTACATGTTTTATCCATGATAAGTGCATCTCAGTCTGTCGTGTTAATGAAACTGTGATGATTTTAATACTTATTCATATAGTTTTACTACATTGAGTGTACTTGATTTATGTTGAACAATAAGTTCTACTCTATGTAAAAATCTGGGAATATTAGGTGAATTAAGAATAACAAATTGCCCAGAACATAGGTCATTTTGACCCAGTTTTAATTATGTTGAATTCTAAACTTTATTTGCCCAAGAAATGTTCACCCAAATTATGAGTAGGTTGTAATAAATGGGAGGGTATGTCTAAAATAAAAATATTTTTAGCCCACCCTGTACATAATTCAACAATAACAACAAAAATATCACTGTTATATCATTTAACCTATTTACTCCCAATAAAATAACAGTTTTTTGTTATTGTTGAATCATGTACAGGGTGGGCCAAAAAATAGTACTCAACTTTAAATCAGGATGAATATAGTTATTAAGTTTAATATGGTACATTTACTTATATATCATTGTAAAGGTATTTCATTATCAAACAGGCTGGGTTGCAATTTAATGTCTCTAGATTTTATAGAGAAAACAGTTTATTTATAGAATATCATTTTGTTCGGTGATTACATGCTTGTATCTTTGCAACATTGTGTGAATAAACTTATAGTTTATATAGCCTCCAGAGGATAGGATAGTGTTTTCCTCAGTGGTAATCCAATGGGAAACTAAGATTCTCAAGATGTGCTTTTAATTGATAGCATGTTCGGGACAATACCATGCATCCCATTGATGGATATGGAAACATGATTGTGTCACTGTCATGTTTGGGCCAAAGATGCTTCAACATCCAGGAGAATTCCCCCCTGTATTTGAACTTGCATAACCTACTTGAACCCTCTTTGCTAGTGTTTTCCCTATTGACCTATTCCCATGTGTCCATGCTAGTCAGGTTATTTTTCATAGGATTCTGACTAATGTTCACAATCACAATTGCACTTCCCCGAATAAACATACTTACACCATGTTGCTACTTATAAACATCAACCACTGTGTTAAATCACTAATTCATTTAATTTTTTTTAATCAGTTATTCAAATTTCTTGATGATCAGAACCTTCTTTACAGCTTACAAAGTAGATTCATCCCAGGTCATGGAACTCAACCCCAGCTCTTAGCCATAATTGACTACATATCTGATTGTTTAGATAATGGTGATAATGTAAAAGGTATTTTCCTAGATATTTCAGCAGCGTTTGATTCAATGCCACATATTCATTTATTAAGTAAGCTTTCAAGTTATGGTTTTGGTCAAAACATCTGTCTATTAATGAAATCTTACTTAGAAAATCGAAGAGTTAGAGTTGTAATAGATGGCTAAGAATCTGCATGGTCTGATGAGAACTTTATAAATTCAGGAGTACCTCAAGGGTCTATTTTGGGCCATATGTTGTTTCTTTTATAATTTAATGATATTTCTGATAACTCAAAATGTTATACTTATTTGCCGATGACACTTCAATTACTCAGATGCGAGTAGGTAGTTACCAGTTTCGCCACAGGTGGCTGATTCGGGGGAATTAACATGGCAGGGTATTACAAAATTCCCTGAAACTTGAATATGCATCAGTTTTAGTGGTTCACTTTTATGTATCTGATAGTTATACAAATTAAAATATGTCCAGTAAAAGAAAATATTATCTGCCCAACACAAGAAAAGATATTTCACTTTTTGTGGTTTTACAACATGGGGGCTATGGGGAATCTCCCCGACCTAGAAGTCACATTTTCAAAGAAAATAAATTTTTCAAAGTTGATAAACTCTTTTCAAAACCACATTTCTAGATGCAATTTTACATGTAGATTCCAAACATGACATCGGTTTGACTGAATTGTGAGTTTTTAATGACGTAAATCAAGATTATTTCTACTCGCATCTGGGATATTTATCAGCCGTTTAATGAGGGTAATCTTAACTTCAAGATGGCTCTCTTACAAAATGACCTAAATAATATTTACGAGTGGTCAGAAAAGTGGAAATTACAGTTCAAGGCCAGCAAAAGTGCTGAATTAACTTTCTCTAACCCTAGAAAATCAGAGTTGCAAACCTCACCAATGATACTTTGGGGTGATCAAATTCCAAAAGTTACCAAACTCAAACACCTTGGCTTAATTTTTGACCAAAATTTGACATTTGAACCACACATTCTCTATGTCACTAATAAAATTGACAAGTTATTAAACCATTTAAAGAGTTTATCCAGAAAAATTAGTGGTAAACACCTCCAGCTTATGTTTAATTCATATATTTTACCACATGGCTGCACAAACTCCATGGTTCTAAAATATCTCGATCATTTATATTATAAAGCAGCAACTATTTGTTCAGGTGTCATACATGGCTCTTTCACAATTAAAACACTTCAAACATTAAATTGGAAAACTCTCGAAATTCGTAGAAAACTACATAGAATGCTTCTGATTTAGACAGAATGTGTTTTTTAAAATATATAGCATTTTTATGTCACCATCAAAAAGTGGTGACATATCGTTATGGTCTCCGTTTTATCGGCGGCGTCTGTAACAAATTATTACAACTTCCAATAACCTAACAAATACTGTTTAGATTGACTCCAATATTTTAAATATCATCTACAAGTTTCCGGAAGTTCAAATCTGATTTTATATTTATTAAGATTTGACCTTCAATGACCTTTTCAAGGTCAAAAAGGGTATTTTTCAACTTGCTTCAAACTGACCAAAAAGTGGTGACATATTGTAATGGTCTCCGTTAATGGCGGTTGGCGATCGGCGTCTGTAACAAATTCTTACAACTTCCAATAACCTGAGACTAACATTAACGGTTTGGACTGACTTCAATCTTTTCAAAATCATCTCAAAATCATCTACGAGTTTTCAGAAGTTCAAATCTAAGTTAAGATTTGAGATTTCACCTTCAACGACATTCTTATGCTTAAAAAAGGTATTTTTCATTGTGGGATCCACAGCCTTTACTATCCTTTTGGAATAGTTCAGTTCTCTCAAAAGCGTTAGGAAAGAGGGGCTCTGATAAATCAGAATGGTCTTTTTATTTCTACTTGCTTCAAACTGACCAATTTATTTTTTCAAAATCATCTGCATGTTCTCAGAAATTCAAATCTGACTTAGATTGAACTCATAATATTGTGAACAACTAGGTGGTGACATTTTATCATGTTAATGCCAAGTGTTATTTCTTGCCTTAACCAGCCGGGAATTTGTTTGACCACACGAACAGACTAGTAGTTCATTTCGTGTATTTCTACTACATTTTGTCCTGACAATCTTTATCTCAATACCAGAGCTTTGAGTTTTTGTTAAGCTAATTGTATCGCCGATATGCTTGTACATAAGACATGTAATATATTTTATCCCATGGTTCCAAGGATATAGATCGAATATCAGGTGAAAATATATTTGATATGTGGAACAAGATATCATATTTTAGCAAAAAATCCCCAAACCATTGAATATCACTTCTCAAAACATCGAATATCACTTCTCAAAACATCGAATATCACTTCTCAAAAAGTTATATTCGATGGTTTCAAAAGTGATTTTTCAATAATCTATTTCAAATTTTTTACTGACTTTTTTGTGAGATAATGTTTGTAATGTAGCCTTTTTAGTATGTGTAAACCTTTAGAAGATGATTGTAAAATCTTTGTTTGTATGATTACGTTATGCCCATGCTTCCATTCTTCCATTGTGATTGTATAAATCGTAAATTCTTATTATGCAACATATGTTCGTTAAAAAGAGAAAATATATCTGAGACCTTGCTGTAGGGCAAATATGAAGAATGCGTATGTCAGATTATTAAATGTTGATGAATTGTGAACATCAATATAAACTGCTGATTGCTTTACTGGAATGGTAAACGATGATGTTTTTAAATGTAAAGAAAAATAGAAAATAGGAACCTACATATTGTTTCATTTGAATATAAACAATTGACGACATTATTGTTAAGTATTGTTTGAAGATTGCTTAGAAAAGGATCTTTAGTGTGATATGAAATGTAAAGTGTTATGACCAGTATGTATGTACATGTGTTTTCGTAAAGAGGAAACGTTAGTCTCATTAGACTTAATTTAAACGAACAAATCTGTATTTTACAATTTTCTGTATTTTACAATTTTCTGTATAACCTTCATCATACATGAGTGTGTTTGATTATATCTTGTGTAGTTTTATGTAGTTTTGTATATCTGATTTTTACTCCAAACATAATGTTGAGATTTATGAATTTTCGATGTAATCATACATCTTCATCAGGTAAGAGATTTGCGAATTTTCGATGTATTCATACATCTGTCGATGTGTTCATACATCACCAGGAACTATGAATACATCAAAAATTTGTAAATCTCAACGTTTTGTTTTTAACAACTTATTAACATGTTACTTGATTTTTGCTCTGTAAAAATGTTTGTATTTTCGATACGACTTTTCTCGTTTCCTTATTTTACACCTTGTAGTCAGAACTCCCACGAAATTTTTTAAACACAAACGTGTATCAGTATCATATGTTTAAGAAAGTATACATATTTGCGAACAAATAGTGCAGAAGACAACAGAACTTAAGTAAATCATTTAAGTTACATAAACGGTTTTTCGAAAAACAGTTAAGATCTGCACTTTTAACCCAAACCGTTTATGTAACTTAAGTGAGAAAGTAAATCGAAGATTCTGTTGTCTTCTGAGCTATTTTTTTGCAAACATGTACATTTTTTAAAACATATAATACTGATATACGTTGTGAGAAAAAAACGTTGTGGGGATTCTGCCTACAACGCGTGAAATAAGGAAAAAAGAAAAATCGCACCTTCGACGTTCCGACATTTTGTTACCAAAACTGTTCGTTTTGGTAACCAGCGTAATCGAGTGGATCACCAGTGGAGTGTGGTATAGTTAAAATTGGAGCGTTAAAATTCATGTTACTGGTATTTTTGAATTAAAAGATACGATCTCCCAATTTACATTCCATGCCTTAAGGCGGGATTATAGTGTCAGTCATGGTCAATGACCATACTTCAAAAAGACTAACATGCTCTCACATTATCTCTTAAGAATAAAATAAAGAACTTAAACAAAATTTTAAAGTAGTCCGTTGATCAGTATAAAGGAATTAAGTTTAAGCCTTTAGCCTATAACATTACTTTTTGTTGCAGGAATTTTTGGAATTTGAAAACTTGAATTTGGGGGACATTTGAAGGGATTCGCGGGACCCGCAAATATGCCTAATTTTGAATTCTCGGGACGACCCCACAAGTCGCGTTACACTTGACAGCCATGGACCATGAACTTTCTTGCTCCTTTGGTTAATAATGTTCATTACATACAGTGAATTAAAATAAATTTTAATTTTATTAAGTGAGAATTCCAGCTATTTTTCATCTGTTGTAAGAAACCTCCAATGATTTAACTGAAGACATGAATATTTATACTTCTACATGTAGGAAGAATTTATTTTGAAAGATTTGACCTTTATTGACCTATTTTATTTACAAAACCAATACGTCTCTGATGACAACAAGAATAACTTGTGACATTATTGAAATCAGACAATAAAAATGA